AATTGATGTTAATCTAACTAGATTGTAATTATTCTTATAATAATCAAGGTAGTTTGATGATTGATTGTAATTATTCTTATAATAATCAAGATTGTTCATGTCGTCAGATACTGTGTTACTTTCATGTCGTCAGATACCAATAACAGACTGCGCTAATGATAATGCTGTCACTATTTGCAATAGTTCGGTTATAGAATTTTGCGAACACAGTGGAGTTGCCACTCCAGCCCGCAGTATTGCGAATGGCGGTGACGCTGACGCCCTGCGCGTGCGCGGGGGACGTGCTGGCGTGCCTGGTGCTGTGCGCGGAAAAAATCGACGTGTCGACTCCGCATATGCTTAGTGTGCTCTTTATCCAGCGGCTAAGCGTCTGCGTGCTGACAGTTTTGTGTGGTTTTTTGATGCCTATAAACAGAATGTCAGATTTTCTTAATTGGTTTGTTTTATCAATATAAGTTATCAAGGTTTTTGCGGGGCATATGGCTTATTAGGCTTATTGTTAAAAGAAGGTAAATACAATGTGGGCTGCTTACAGCCTGGTTTCGAAGTTTTAATTAAGTCGGGTATTTTAATTATGATTTGAGTGGTCGAAATATGTATGTTTTTTTAATGTATTTTTGTTATGGTTTGCATTCTATGACCTGTTGTTAATGCTAATAAAGTAACAGTTTTCTTAGTCAATTGATCCAACGATAGTTCTTTATTGGGGTACCATTGGCCTAACTGATCTAAAACAAAATTCGTATCCTAGGTTATATTATATTTTGGTAGCGGTGGTCTGAGACGATATACACCCTTTAAGAATCTCTGAATTCTGTCGTCTTGACTTAAGTGTGAACCTAATAAGAGTGATAAGGCCGACCTACATGAATTTAAAGAACCGTAATTGCAGCCGTCATTATGTAACTCAGTAAAAAAATAAATTACGTTGGACACTGAGGCAGAGAAGATGTCCATAGAGTTCTTTTTGCAAAAAAGCCACCATTTCTTTAGATAAACGTTATATTGGCTGAGGGAACTAGAGGATAACGAGGCCAGCATTCTATCTAAGGAGAATGTTGGTATGCTCCTCCTTGATAATGCGTTCCGGATAAGACTGCTGCCACCAGGGTAATCGACTTGTGGATCCGCCGAGAGCTGCAATGGTAAATTATAGCATTCATATGCGGAGGAAATGTTATAAATTTTGAAATTACGAGCCTCTGGTATATCGGATACCATGGCTGTGTAGGACATACAGGGACAACCACAATCCCTTCGGCTCTGTCCCAAATTATCTTCCTAAGAGTTTTTAATATAATTGAAAAAGGTGGAAACGAATAGAAATTTAAATTTGTCCAATCGATGGTAAAAGCGTCAATAGCTACAGCGTCGGGATCTCGGTGCCACGAGATGAAGTTTTTACACTTTTTATTAATACGACTCGGGAATAAATCAATTGTGGGATCCCCAAGTGTACATGCCAGATATTCAAAAGCCCAGGGGGCTAATTCCTTTTCAATATCGGGATGGAGTTTGCGTGACTCTGTGTCTGCTATAACGTTGTCGCTCGATTTAATATAAGACGCGCAAATGCACAACTTGCGTTTTTCACACCACTGCCAATTTTCTCTAGTTATTTGTGTAAGTTGGGGAAATTGAACGCCACCCATTCGATTTATATACGAGATTGCAGTTGTATTATCGATGCGTAGCAAAATTTGGCAATGATGTAAATCTTTTGCGAATATTTTTAAAGCTATGAATGCCGCTAGAAGTTCAAAGTGGTTTATATGTTTATATTGTTCTTCACAAGACCACTGCCCAGTAGCTGTTTTTCCATTACAAGCCGCACCCCATCCCGTAGTTGAGGCGTCAAAGAAAATTTCAGTGTGAAATGTGTCGTTTCTAATACATTGCGATTGGTTTACGTTACTTACCCACCACTGAATGTCTGAGTGAAGTGCAGTGGGTATATTGATTATTTTATCGTAATCATTATTATTTAGCAAATTTAAGAATTTATGCCTTTCGAACTGTTTCGTGTAAAGCAACCCATAATCCACAGCTGGACATATGGATACTAAGAAACCAACAATATGAGCGAAATCCCTAACACTGCAATACTGTAGTTTTAAGAACATTTTCAATGCTTCGGAAATACGTGCCCTTTTTTCAAGAGGTAAGCTTATATTTAATTTATTTGAGTTTAAAATCATTCCCAAAAATTTACACGTCATAGAAGGTTTCAGAACACTTTTCTCATAGTTAATATAATGTTTTATTACTCTTCACAACTTACACATTAAGTGACGGTATATAAGGTGGAAATAATCTTACATAAGATGTGAGAGTCTGATGCCTGAAATAGGTATAGGAATACCTGTGTTACAGGTCACCAGGCCCCACTCATCGAATTCGAACATTAGCATATAGCTTATTTGAAAATAATATTTATACTGCTACTAAAAGACAAGAACTAAAATCTTAAACATAAATGGATGGGTGTGAAGTGTGTGTGTGTGCGTGTGTGAGTGTGTGTGTGCGTATATAGTGTGTGTGTGTTCGTGTATCAGCGTGTGTGTGCGGTTATGTGTGAGTGAATGAGAATGACGGTGTTCAAAAGGTGAAAGCATGAAATTTAAATGAATGTAGGCATTGTTTTTGTTTTTAAAGTATGTTATTATTTATATTGAGACATAAGTGCTTCAGTTGTTTCAAAGTCCAATGCTTTGAGCCACGTTGACACAGCTTCTTTAAAATTATGCTTACACATAGGGTAAATATTAATGGCTTTATTTATCTTATTGTACAAATATGGACCTAGGAAACAGAAGAATTTCTGAGAGTGTGCTTTTTTAAATAGCTTGATCTAGCAGACATTGTCTTTTCTGCGTCTGTCTTTTAATTCATCAGGTTTATATTCAAGTTCAGAGTGTTGTTGAAGAAAGATACTTAATATAAATATTTGCCTTACCGACAGGACTTCCCATTCTTCATAGAGGGTTTTAGTGGGGAATCGAAAAGGTAGTCCAGCCGCAGTTTTCAAAATCGCCCTTTGTGCTCTCTCTACCTCAATCATATACGTTTTGGAAGATCCACCCCAAGAGGTAATGCAGTATCCTAACAAAGACTGACACAAAGCATAATATACCATCTTGATGGTGCGTTTGTCCGCAATGTGGCGTAGTGTCCTAAACACGTATATAAGTTTCCGTAGTCGAGCAGCAAGAGTATCTAAATGAGGCTTAAAAGTTAAATTTTCATCAATAATGACGCCAAGATATTTAATAGATTCTGTTCTTGCCAAAGGAGGACAATCACATTCAATATATTTATTTTTAGAGCAAGAAGGGTTATGGGCTATAATGTGGAGGCATGGTGGAGGAAGGAGGTTTTTCCTGTAAGCAAAGGCTAAATATTTAGTTTTGTTAACATTTAGAGAAAGCAAGTTGCTTTGCATCCACGAAACCACCATTTCGAAACCTCTCTGAGCATTACAGAAAGCATGTTCCCAATCTTTACCATGGAAGAAAAGTGCGGTGTCATCTGCAAATGTAAATATCTTGCCATGAGGAATTTGAAGTTGACATAGATCATCAATGAGCACCAAGAATAAAGACGGACCAAGAATACTGCCCTGAGGTACTCCATAAAGCACAGTCAGCTCTTCGCTTAGCCACTTGTCGATGCGGACCCTTTGCTTCCTATCACTAAGATAGCTTTCGAAAAGTTTTAAAGGACTTCTAACACCGAGCTTTTCCAGTTTTTTCAACAATAGTGGGATGGAGACCACGGCCTTAGCCAAGTCCAGATCGTGACACATTTCTCCTTACTATCCAGTTTCTTAACAATAGTATCGGTTAACTTATGTACTGCTTCATTAGTTGATCTGCCTGCTCTGAATCCAAACTGAGAGGTTGATAGCATGTTATTTGTTTCCAGATAGTTCATTAGACGTTTATTCATTAGTCGTTCCAGGATCTTGGATAACGTGGGCGAGATAGAAATTGGTCGGTAGTTATTTACGCTGTCTTTGTCCCCACCCTTGTGAACTGGTTTGATGACGGCGTCTTTAAATATTTGCGGAAATACTCCAGAATCAAGGGCAAGATTGCATATATACGTAATGGGAGTAACTAACACGTTTATATAGCGCTTTAAGATTTTGCCGGATATAAGATCCAATCCCACTGCACAGTTATCCCTAAGATTGAATATAAGTTCTTTTACTTCCTCCTCATCTGTGGGCAACATAAAGAATGATTTCCCCGAAGTACCAGATGATCCACTTGTGCCCACTGCTTGATGATGCTGAGATGCAACAATCTGAGCAGCAAGTTTGCTGCCGACGCTAACAAAAAATTAGTTAACCTCATTGATGCTTGAACTGATGTTTTTTGCATGAACAAGACTAATAATAAAACCTAGTGAAACTAAAAGCTTTTTTGTGATATGTAAATTAGACAAACATTGCTAGTATGATAGGCCTAACAAAAGCCAGTCGTCTAAATAAAGAGTAGAGAGCAAGCTTGCTGTTCGTAATAGTTTCACTATAGGTTTTGTTATCTTTGTGAAAACAGGTGCAGTATTGAGACCGAAAGGCAAGACGTTAAATTGGTATAATTTTTGGTTATAAATAAAGCGAAGGTACTTTTGAAAATCTTCGTATATTTTTATTAAAAAATAGGCGTCCTTCAGGTCAATGGTTGCCATATAACAATTTTTAGTAATAAGTTTAACGGCGGTTCCCAATTCTTCTAATTTAAAATGATCTGTATTAATGAATTTGTTCAATGCTTTAAGATTCAGTATGAACCGCATCTTACCATTCGGTTTCGGCCTAAGAAAGACATTCGAAATAATTGATTGTCGCAGGGTTCGAATTCTGATATAGCACCTATAAGTAATAACTGATTTATGGCTTCACAGAAGTGTTTATTTTCTATGTTATTTCGCTTTGGAGACAGTGGGATTAAACTCTGAGTCGGAGGACTCGAAAAGGATCAGGAAGGAGAAATCTATCCAAGAAAGGATCGTAAGATCATTAGTGATAAGTGACCATTGTTCCCGAAAGTAAAGCAGTCTGCCAGCGTACTTAACTGTGGCGGCCCGCCGCTGGTGGTGGCGGCGGCGGTGGCGGCGGCAGATGATGCTGCTGCTGACGATGCTGCTGCTGACGCGGCCACTGCCTTGAAGAGCGCGCGAGCGGCGGCGGGGGAAGTAGGCGGCGGCCTGCAGGCTCGTAGCTCCTCTGAGATGGGCCTGGCTGCCTGTACGCCGAACCCGGAGCTTTCCGGTTTAAATGGTTCTGGAGGGGTATTTTCGACCTCTTGGGTAGGTTTTTTGTAGGTGGGTCGGCTTTCAATTCTGTTCCGGATTTATTAATCAACTTAGCGGTCTTAAGAATTCCCGCTAGTTCTTCACCGAAAAGCAGTGAATCAATCTTCGTATTAATGAGATGTTCTTTAAGGTCCCTTTTTAGGGAAAATAAAATCGCATAATAATCGGCTGAGGTCCATTAACTTCACGAGTCTTTCCTTATCTTTGTTCTTAAAGTTCAGTTCATTAGAGATAATTTCTCCTAAACAAGCAATAGCACTCGTCATCTGTGTTTGCTTAGACACCGCCGCCCGGCCCGCCGCTGGTGGTGGCGGCGGCGGTGGCGGCGGCAGATGATGCTGCTGCTGACGCGGCCACTGCCTTGAAGAGCGCGCGAGCGGCGGCGGGGGAAGTAGGCGGCGGCCTGCAGGCTCGTAGCTCCTCTGAGATGGGCCTGGCTGCCTGTACGCCGAACCCGGAGCTTTCCGGTTTAAATGGTTCTGGAGGGGTATTTTCGACCTCTTGGGTAGGTTTTTTGTAGGTGGGTCGGCTTTCAATTCTGTTCCGGATTTATTAATCAACTTAGCGGTCTTAAGAATTCCCGCTAGTTCTTCACCGAAAAGCAGTGAATCAATCTTCGTATTAATGAGATGTTCTTTAAGGTCCCTTTTTAGGGAAAATAAAATCGCATAATAATCGGCTGAGGTCCATTAACTTCACGAGTCTTTCCTTATCTTTGTTCTTAAAGTTCAGTTCATTAGAGATAATTTCTCCTAAACAAGCAATAGCACTCGTCATCTGTGTTTGCTTAGACACCGCCGCCCGGCCCGCCGCTGGTGGTGGCGGCGGCGGTGGCGGCGGCAGATGATGCTGCTGCTGACGCGGCCACTGCCTTGAAGAGCGCGCGAGCGGCGGCGGGGGAAGTAGGCGGCGGCCTGCAGGCTCGTAGCTCCTCTGAGATGGGCCTGGCAGCCTGTACGCCGAACCCGGAGCTTTCCGGTTTAAATGGTTCTGGAGGGGTATTTTTGACCTCTTGGGTAGGTTTTTTGTAGGTGGGTCGGCTTTCAATTCTGTTCCGGATTTATTAATCAACTTAGCGGTCTTAAGAATTCCCGCTAGTTCTTCACCGAAAAGCAGTGAATCAATCTTCGTATTAATGAGATGTTCTTTAAGGTCCCTTTTTAGGGAAAATAAAATCGCATAATAATCGGCTGAGGTCCATTAACTTCACGAGTCTTTCCTTATCTTTGTTCTTAAAGTTCAGTTCATTAGAGATAATTTCTCCTAAACAAGCAATAGCACTCGTCATCTGTGTTTGCTTAGACACTATGCCTTTGTCTCGTTTTATACTATTTTCAAGTATACCTTTATTTCTGGATTTAGTTTGAGAGCTCCAATGCAGAGGCAATTGGCTGGGATTGGGTACTTTTTTTATCAGTTCTTTACGGCTTTCTGTGTTTAGCCCTTCAGTAGCAATATGAGTCAGTCAATATACTAGTTCCGGACGGATATTATTTCCGACGTTCTGTGTGTGCGAGGGATCCTCGCCGAGTATTTCGAGGACGTCGGTGTCCAACTCTTTGTTATTTCTATTCTCGTGGGATAGTGTTTGAGCCACGACAGACATATCGTCTACGGGAATAGTTTCGACGTATTCGTCATAAGGAGGTATCAGTATCTCACTGATGCAGACTACAGATTCTGGCTCATCAGCTACTTCCGACAGCCAATCACTTGGCCCGATCGTAGGAGTGACTGAAAAAATCAGTACTCGTATGAGTTACAAATATTGACTACGTGGGTAGTAAAATAATAAGTGTGTGGCGAAATAGCCCCAGCGGCAGTTCAGGTACACACTTTCAATAAAACGTAAATACGTTTTGATTTTGGTACGAATGTTTAGAGATAGTGCATGACCAATTATAAAATTAAAGGTAGATGAGTAAGTAATTTAAGAAACTTTATTAGATTTAGTAGGTAAGGCGTAGACAAGTAAGATTAGTGATACCCTCACAATTGAGAAAAAAAAAACTACATACAGGCAAAGGAAATCTCAATATAGTGCCGGAGTAGTGACATCTATGCGATACTACCATGTGTAAAATAATAATATAATTACTAATCTCGAGAAACGAGGCGCGAAGTATAATTGATCATAAAGTGCATGAGTTTACTATGGATGATTTTTGCGTTGTTTTTGTTGGAGAGGATGATTTTCACGTAACTAAAGACTATTCCTTGATTGTTAAAAAAATGCACGAAAAGATTTCTAAGATAAGTCATACCAACATTATAATTGTAACACCAATTTTTAGAATACATCATAATGCTACTTTGTATAATTATATAATTGAAACTTTTAATAAATTATTGTATTTAAGCAATCAACAGCATGAGTATGCATATTTATTGGACTCCAATAACTTACTCGAGTATACTAGGAAAAAAATTTCTTTCTACCTTGGTAAATTATATAACTTTGGGTTTTTAAATATTGTTGAACGACTAAAAATCTTGATGACAGAAATAAGTCAGTATAATCAAGAAAATGAAAAAATAATAACAACAAATGATATCCATTCTATGGCTAATGTTCAGGTGATTGAAGAATCAGATTTTTTTCGTCTCTAATTATTTAAGAATATTTCACCAAAATATATGTGGATTGATAAATAAATTGGATTTACTGACTGTCGCCATTTGTGATTTATGTTTAGAAAATAAGGAGACTGACATTATATGCATCACGGAACACTTCATGAAAAAAGTAGATAATTGTAATTTTCATCTAAATAACTATATACTGGCCACAAGTTATTTCAGAGACACTCGATCACGAACCACCTTCGTGTATATTGGTTCGGCAAGGCTTTGAGTACAAAATTGTTGATGTCTCGAAATTTTGTATTAAATCTGTATTTGAATGTTGTGCATTGAAGTTAACGGTTGAACACCTGATTATAGTTTGTATATATAGACCACCAAATGCTGACATAGAATTATTTCTTAATAAATTTGAAATACTTTTAAATAATTTGACTAAAAATAATAATGATTTTAAATGTATAATTTGTGGTGATTTTAATGTAATTATTTTAAAAAGGACCAAATTGACTGACTATTTTGAGAATTTACTTTTAAGCTATAATTTTAAGTTACAAATCAGACAACCCACAAGGCTCAGTAGTCAAACATGTCTTGATAATTTTGCCGTAAACTATAGAGGTTGTAAGAGCGAAGTAATTGAGCTAGCCTTGTCAATAAATGCGCAGTGTCATCTACACTGCGCAGTGTGATCTACACTGCGCAGTTATTAAATTGCCCTGTGAAGAGGACATGTCCGATTAATTATTGGCGCATAAGAAAACGTGATTATTTCTGTGGAAAATATGATTAAATTTCAGGAGGCTATTCAAGCATTAAGTTTTAGTGAAGTCTATACATCAGACGATGTAAATGTTGCCTGTAATATATTTGTTGAGACTGTCAAGTTATTTCATAACTTATGTTTTCCCCTTAAGCAAATATTAATAAAAAGTAAGAAAAAAGTAAAATGGGTATCTAGAGGTGTTAGGACTTGTAGCAAAAAGAAGCGAGAATTGCTGTGGAGATATAGGTCTTGTCCAACTGAAGCAAACAAACTGATTATCAAGAACTATTGCCGGCGTTACAAAAAAATATTAATTTAACAAAGAGGGCACAACACGATCACTTCATAAAAACAGCTATTAGTAAGTCAAAAGCGACCTGGCAAATAATAAAGAAGAATAAAAATTAGTATCCTCAGGAAACGATCCAACATTTACTTAGAGATAGAATGCGAATCTGTGCATGTGGCCAATATGCTTAACAACCATTGCGTAGACTCTACACTAAAACAAAAAAAATATAATTTTACTTACAAAATACCTACAAAACTTGAAAATTCAATATTCTTGCCTGAAATTACACCAGAAACTGTTAAAAAAAACATAAGATCATTAAAGAATACACCTAGTGTAGGTATTGATGGTATCCCCACTAAAGTAATTAAAAAAAATTCAGACTCTTTGGCTTTTCCTTTAACATTTCTAATTAATTTAAGTATTAACTGTGGAACATTCCATGAAGTATTTAAAACTTCAGTTATTAAGCCGATCTTTAAAAAAGGAGATAAGTCGGATATAAAAAACTATAGGCCTATTGCTCAGTTACCAATATTTTCTAAAGTATTTGAAAAAATAATACAAAAAATGAGCAGTTTGGTTTCCGTAAAAATAGAAATACCCAAAAGGCAATATATAGTTTACTTGATATATTAAAGACCTATGTGGACAAAAGACAACATGTTTGTGCCATTTTTATGGACATGACCTGTGCTTTTGACCACGTTGATCATAACTTACTTTTGACCAAACTCTATGCTTATGGGATAAGAGGCGTAGCTCTTAAACTAATAGATTCGTATTTAAGTAACAGGAAACAATAAACTGAAATAACTAGATTCTGCAAAAAAAAAAAAAAACAAAATAATTAGGGAATTTATGTCTCTATGTAGAGATGTAGAGGCTGGTGTGTCTCAAGGTAGTATATTAGGACCTTTGTTCTTTAATGCATTTATAGACTTTCCAAATTCTATTGACAATCCCATGATTTTATTTGCTGGCGACAGTACTGCTGTGATTCAATGTAATAATGAACAAGACTATGAAAATGACATTAATAATGCTATGGAAAAACTTAACAATTGGATAGTCCAAAATAACTTGTGCCTGAATTGTTAAAAAAATTAAAGTAATACACTTCAGACAAAAGATTGAAATACCCTCAGTAACTTTAAAGTGCAATGGTGAGGAAATTGAATCTGTTTCTGAAACGAATTTTTTAGGTCTGCATATGAAATGAAATTATGTAAGAGAGTGAGTAGTTCAATTTACGCTCTATACAAACTCTCCAAGGTGTCTAATAGGGACACTGTTTTGACTGCATACCGAGGTTATGTTGAATGTATCTTACGGTATGGAATAATTTTCTGGGGAAATTCTGTGAATAAAAATCTTTTATTTAAACATCAAAAAAGGTGTATAAGAGCGATAAATTGCCTCAAATCGACGGATAGCTGCAAACCATTTTTCATAAGCATGAAAATAATGACTCTGCCTTCGCTGTACATTTATGAAGTAGCTGTTTTTGTGTTATGTAACAATTCTCTGTTTCCGACACTCTCAGAAAGGAACCCTGTAAGAAATCATCGCCACTGGAATAGGATTTGCGCTCCTTCTTATAAAACCGTACACGTTAGTAGTAGCTTCTTTGGGATGGCTCACAGAATATTCAACAAGGTTCCGAGTTGTCTTAAATCACTACCGATAAAGACTTTTAAGAAGCGTCTGTTAGCATTATTAGTTGAAAAAGCCTACTATACAGTTGAGGAATTTTTAAATGGCAAATCCTGTAATTAAATCGGATATGTCTTTTATAAAAGCAGTTCTCTATTAAAAAATTGGGCTAAAAAAAATCTCTATTTAAAAAGCTGGGTATCAAGACGCGTCTCTCTTCTGTCTGCATGCAGCGCCTCTTAAAATACTTCGGTCACGTAGCAAGGAGAAGCCCGGATAATTTTGAAAAGCTTCTGGTCGTGGGTAACGTGGAAGGCAAGAGGAGTAGGGGCAGGTCTCCATCCCGGTGGTTGGACATAGTTAAAGAAACTACGAATGGCAACTTGCAGGCGTCCATCCGCCTTGCAGAACACAGAACGGTCTGGAGATCGTTCGTAAAATGTGCTGTCCTCAAAGGTCACGACCCTCAGCCATGAGGAAACGACGATGAAGAAGAAGATTAAAAAATTTAGACATATTAAAATTGACAATCTAGTTAAGAAATGTGTATTTATTTCTATTTTGGGCATTATGCTTATTTTTCTATTAAAATTTTGACTATTAGTATGACAACTTTATGGCTAATCAAATTTATTATTAATTTATAATCTACTTTGACATGCATGTAACAATAGACAATTTCAAATTATATTCATAAATTGTGATTCCAATGTAAAAATAATAGTACTTCTTTCATAGGTCCATATGTATTTGTATACCTTAACTAGCAAACCCGGCGAACTCCGTTTCGCCACCAGATGGCTTCGTTTTATGTAACATTTCGTTTGGTGATTAAAAGAAGTTTTTTTTATTTTTTCCTGAATTTTCTTTGCTATAAACCTCACGGAGCCCGAGACCTTTCCAACGAATGCAAAACCGTGGAAATCGGTTCGTGCGTTCTGGAGTTATAGCGTCAGGAAGGAAAACCCGACTTATTTTTAAATAGTAGATTAAGGTGGAAATGTAGTGATACTAACAAAAATTTTATATACCATGTATACTAACCTATGTTTCACAAATAAAATTCTGATTCTGATTCTGATTCACTGTCATCGATTAAGTAATAGCAGTTAATATTCAGTACTCACACAAAGTTATTCAATTTTTATTATAAAATGACCAAGGAAGGTGAAGAAGGCAGTGACAATGATCATCAAGAGTTACAATACTTAATTATTAAACGAAGTTCTATTAAAGGTAGAATTACACAGTTTAAAAATTTTTTTGTTCTAAGGATGAATTAAGGTCGTTTGGATTATCCGAGTTAAAATTGAAGTTGAGTAGGTTTGAATCACTATTTAATAAATTCGACGAATTGCAAAGTCAAATAGAGGTATTAAAATCTGATTCGTTGTCAGCAGAAATTGATGAAAGAGATGATATTGAACAGAATTTTGTTACTAACATTGCCACAGCTCAAAATATTATTCAAAGTTATCAGGCAAAGAGTGAAACTAATGCAGCCCATGATAATCTGAATTCTAGCAATAGTTCTGTTGTTTGTCTTAGTATATCAGTACTACTACTCACTACTAAACGAAGAGGTTCCCTTCAAATTGCTGCAGATACAAATTACAAAGTTTGACGGTGCTTACTTCCGCTGGTTAGACTTTCGGGACTCATATTTGTCGATTATACATAACAATGAACGTATAGCACTCATACACAAGTTTCATTATTTGATTTCCTATTTGGAGGGAGATGCTTCTAGAATTATTTCAAACTTAGAGGTATCCAGTGCTAATTACGCAACAGCATGGAATTTATTATGTGAAAGGTATGACAATAAGAGGCAATTAATAATTCACCATTTAAACTCATTATTTAACATACAACAAATTACTTGTGAGTCTGACAGATCGCTTAAATTTTTGGTGGATCACATCACTAAGAACCTGAGAGCTCTGTCCGGTTTAGGTCTCGCCACTGATAAGTAGGATGTACTCATTATACATATAGTATGTTCTAAATTGGATTGTCGGACACTCACGAAATGGGAAGAATGGCGCGGCACTTTGGAAGAAACACTTAAATTTAATAAATTTTTAATCGATCGAGCGGATGTGCTTGGATCTCTTTTGCGATGTCCTTGAAATAATTTTACCAAATTTTCAACGACCCCCAGAAAGAGTTCCAATTATAAATTCGAACACCCCCAAACTAAGTCTGTAGTTTGTAATCAAAGTTCAACATCACAAGCATGTGCAGCTTGTCATGAGGACCTATACGATTGTCCGTCCTTCAAGGCCAAAAGTGTACACGACCGGATTGCAACTGTCAATAAACTTAAACTCTGTTTAAACTGGTTAAGATCCGGATACTTGGTTCGATATTGCCGTCTCGGGCCTTGTCATGAATGTAAGGGTGGGCACAACACTCTCCTACACATACCTGACAAACACCAGCCAACTGACGCTAATTCTTTAGTACCTAACGATAGAGTTGTAAATTTCTCACAATATTGCTCTATAACAGTTTCATTATCCACCGCATTCATAGAAATTAGCAATCCCGTCACCAACAATAAAAAAGGTGTACGTTCGCTTTTAGACTATGGAAGTTAGTCATCTTTTATTAGTCAGTCCCTTAAGGACGACCTATCACTTCCAAACCATTCAAATAATCTTATAAATATTATTGGCATCGGCAACAACTCCTCTAATAAGGTCAATAAGGTCAAGAATTAAGAAAAAAATTGACGCCAACGAATATAAAACATAATCTTAAACAATATTTTCTAACGCAATTGTAGCACGCTATATAATCCATGTCTTATCTTTGCAGTTGCACTGTATTTGTTGAGTTGTCTATAACCGTGCTGTGACGCGCTTTACCTGTGTGTGTTATCGCACTGCAATTTGTTCGTTTCTTATCTGTTATTCTTTATCAAAAATTTAACTGAGAGTGCCACACGACACTTTAATAGTCCAAGGTTTAAATAAAATCATCTTTTACACAGATTATCGTCTATAGTAGTAGACGCCAATACCATTGCAATACAACGTTCTGAACACAGATCCTTAGGTAAAGAAGTAGATATACCTAAACAAACTACAATAATACATGAAAATATTGGATATTTAGACATATGTAATTTACAATGCCAACCTCTTATACTATACTCAACTCGTTGTATTGCAACAAGTTGACTATAGTTTAAGTCATAGACGAATAAATTATAATGACAATATCGACATCGATGTCAAAGGTGACGATCTCCTTGGGTTTCAAAGATTACTAAGAAAATATAGTCATTGCTTCGATGACAATATTGGTAAAAATATAGGCCAATTTGAAGTTGAAATGAAAATGAAACTTACAAGTGAAACACCCTTTTATTTTCGTCCCTACCGTATGTCTTTGAAAGAACAAGAAATTGTCCGCAATATTTTTAATAATTTAATTAAAGAAGATATCATAAAACCAAGTAATTTGCCATATGCTAGTCCTGTCAAACTAGTTCCCAAAAAATCTGGAGAATATAGAATGTGTATTGATTATAGGTAGTTGAATAATTCCGATCATACAGGATCATTTAGACAAATTAAGTAGTAAAAAATGGTTTTCTAAATGACATTTAGCAGTAGGTTATAATCAAATAAAAATACACTCTGATAGCAAAAAGTACACAGCATTCGTTACACCTTTGGCCAGTACCAATATAAAAGAATGCCATTTGGTTTAGCCAGTGATCCAGCTGTCTTTCAACGTGCCATGCATATTCTCTTTGATAAGCATAAATTTGAATTTGCAACAGCTCATCAAGATCCTCGCCACGACACGACATTTTTTCATGTAAATGTTGCTAATACTTTTAGAGGCTGATAAGTTTATTTTGCCTATTTTCTCTTCAGGCAGTGGTCGGAAATAAACATTTGAGGACAGTTCAAAAGAGTTCTTAATGGGTAAATATAATTAAAGTATATTTTAATGAATTCATTTATACTTCCAATTAAAAAAATACAAAAAACATTGACTGATTCTGATTCACACATAAGATTAAAAATAGGTATATACGGAATTTTGATGATGTGATTATTACTAATAGTTTTAAATAGCTAAATTTTCCAAAGTGATTATTTTCAACAAAACAAGTTTGAAAGCTGTTATTGATACATTATATAATAGGCAACTTACTGAATTCACTCTCACAACAACGCATCCTAGTAGAATAGTAGATATTAGAAAATATACCCCCAACAGATTTGTAAGAAGTTTCTTCAACTTGTCAGTTACACTAAAAAAAAGGAGTGTATTAATCAAATTATAAACAAAGCAGTTACATTTACATAGTTTTCTTTACTTACTATTTTATACGAACGTAGATTTGATGACACATGATTATTTGATTATGGGCCAAGTCGTCCCCTCTTTTAGATTGAAAAATCTCTTCTTTACATCCTATTTCTTCGCTGTAGTGACATATCAAACTAAATTGGCCAATGATAAATACCATGACACCAATAGAAGTTAAATCAAACACAAGGTGAGTCGACACATTGTACCACATAATGATACATTCAAATAATAGAGTTATGATATATCCAACCCAGGAATCGTTGTCTAAAGGGGTCCAAATTTGTACAATATGAGGCAAACCGATACTTTCACTTTGGGTTAGTTTCCTTACACAATATTCTATAAATGGTGCCAATAAATACACGATAGAACATGTTATAAAGATTATAGTTATAACCTTTTTGAACTTCTGAAACCTCAGACGGTAAGCTTGGATGTGCTCCGAGAATATGAAGTTTCCGTTTTCTTTATCACGTTCGATTGATAATTCAATTTCTTCGATCTTAGAAGCTTCTTCGAAAATAAAACACCAGGTCTTCTGGTGTCTTCTCAAGATAAACAATTTAAATAACATTAACCCGCCGTAACACGAGTCACATAAGCACTCAAAAAAAGAATCAGAATTATGACGGCTTTGTGTAAAAGCAACAAAAATTTGTGATAAAAATATAATGAATACACAAATTGTAGTCACATTGACCACCCAATGCACATGCATCTTGTCGGTTATTTTTATCCCTAGAATCGTAAAGATTTGATGAATGCTTGCAATTAAATCATGTCTTCCTGAAGGCGCCATTTTTCTGAAACAAATATGCAATATTAGCTTCAGCACCAGCCAGATTAAAACCCGTTCATTAAAGACATATAAAGTTTTCTACAGAATTCAATATAAGCAGGTAGGGTATGGCAGATTTACCGCTCGTAGAGACCTTGTCGCGAAATAATCTCCGCCTTGCAGTACTGAGCACAATAGAAAAAAACTTGTTTCATTGGTTTTGTGTTTCTGTTCGTTAGTAAGGTTCCACAGCTCCGTGGAAATTCTTTAAGGCCGGCAAAGTGAGGATGCGGCATAATGCCGCATCAGCTTCTTCTTCATCTTCACAATAGCACTCTACTTACACTTTTCATTAAATTGACATTCATTCATGTGACATTCCGTCAGCAACCCATTTATAGAAAAATGGGTGTCTGACGATTCGGATACAATATATCGGAAAGAGTATCTGAATTGACAACATTAATAGGTAAGAATAATTAGTTATGAGAAACGATAGTGTCAACATGCCTGCTCGCCCACAAAGCCCACAAAAGAACAGTTTAAGTAATTAAACACTGTTTTATGGGGTAAATACCGGATACTGGCCTCAGTGGGATACTAACCCCAGTTTTGAATACACTCTGTTTGGGACTACAGTGACGATAGCGCTTTACTAGAATTGTTATTGACCATTAACATGACACTGTAAACTCACACGTTTCGTCCTTGCAAGCGAAAATTTTCTGAAGCGAAACTTCAACAGGCGTTAAAATTATATAAGCAAATAATACGAGTATCTATTAAATATTTCTATTACTGATTGTGGTTTCAGCCCACTGTTTATTTCTTTATATGCAATCGAGTTCAAATAACACGGTATATTCCGTTTTATTGCTGATTATTATTTATTTATTTTTCAAATATAGCAAAAACAATCCACAATTGTACAATATTTCAGGAGAAAAAAGTTTTTTTTTTATATTGGAGTGTTTTCTTAATCTGTTACTATAACTTAGCTAAAAATATACTTAACTGTTTCATCCAATCATTCTTGGTGAGCATAATATCAAGCAAGTATCAGCGTATATCCGTACCACTAGCACGAAGCAAAATCGAATTCGTATTGTTGAATTCGATATTGACACGCGTCAAATGTCAAGAAGTTTTGTATGGAAATTTGAACAACGCCACAACGAATGTAACGAGAATTACAAATATTCCAATCGGACTTAAGTGTACTTTGGTACACTTAATACTTTACATATATATTTGAAGAATTGTATTATTTATTACTTTTTATTGGTTTGGTTTTTATATAATCGGTTTTTGATTTTATTAAAGAAGTTTTTATTTTCCGGCAACTATTAACCGGCAAGAAACTCAGCAAGGGCTGTTTTTTCCTCCCTCTTTGTTATAGACAGAGTCGTCAAGTTGAAAAATGACTTCTGAAGTCACCTTCCATTACATCATTTAGCATATATAGATTTAGGGTGGTCCTTACTTTTCGACTTTTCAATTATCCTCGGGGCCCTTTTTCATTTGATTATACAGGGTGTAAAAAAACCAATGACAAAGACTAAAGCTACGCATTCTGTACACCCAAACAAGTAATATTACAAAATATAATACGTGGGAAATCATTTTTATTTTTAAGTTTAAAAAATATAAATGTTTTTCCAGTACGCAATGTACAGCGCGCCGCGCTACTGTGGCGCTACGCAAAGACTGTGCCTGTGTATGTGTGTGCGTGTGTGTAAGTGCGTCGATAGAACGCGCTTCTCCACTGCCTAGCGGGAGTATTATGTACACAAAATTACCTGATCATTTACTTCCAAAGTTCCTACATTTAAAAATAGCCCTTATGGCATTTGTTTAGATTTAGAGCTGGGTAAGTACTTTTACTACTTACCGACTATTCGACCTCGTCCGGAATCGGCCGCTCGAACCGGATAATAATAATAATAATAATAATAATCTTTATTTTTGAACCATGACGTATACATTATAACAATTTAGCGTTAACAACCGTAGTAGTCTAAGACTGTGTTACAGTTATTAGCGCCCACCTCAAAAGACAGGCACATTACAGACATGATTTGAAACAAAGTGTTTATAATACATTACACTGTGTGTGTTTGTGTGTGTGTGTGTGTGTGTGTGTGTGTGTGTGTGTGTGTGTGTGTGTGTGTGTGTGTGTGTGTGTGTGTGTGTGTGTGTATGTGTATGTGTGTGTATGTGTGTGTGTGTGTGTGTGTATGTGTATATGTAGTGTGTGTGTGATAGAGAGATGTGTGTGCATGTGCATATTTTACTTGATCAACAACTCCACAGTGTCATATTCCAACTCCAGTAACCACCCGCTCAATTTGATCTTACATTCATGCTTTGAGAGAGGGTAAATGTTAAGCCTTTTATTTACTTTGTTATAGAGAAGGGGAGAAATGAAATCATAATGATGTTTTAATAGGGCTATTCGAGAATTTGGAATTTTACACACATTGTCTTTCCTTCTTTTATTTAGTAGGGTGCAAGGGTCATATGGGAGTAGCATATGCTTGCGTAACAAAACTTGTTGGACGAATAGTTTGCGGACAGAAAGTACCTGCCAGAAAGCATACACTAACTGGGTGCTGTACCTAATAGGTTTAAATGCCATAACTTTCAAGATGGCTCTTTGTGCTCTTTCAAGTTCCAACATCTTTGACTTTCCAGAGCCCCCCCAAACCGTTATACAGTACGATATTATTGACTGTGCCAGAGAAAAGTATGCAGTTCTGAGGATATGAGAATCAACGAGATGTCTCAGTCTGCTGAAAACAAAAATTAACTTTCTGGTTCGCGAAGTGATAGATCGGATATGTTCGGTCCACGACAACAGATTATCAACAATAACCCCAAGATATCTAATGCTATTTGTACGTGTTATTGATACGCAAATGCATGAGTTACTGGCTGGCAAATTACAATTGTGTGCTTTCAAACAATAGTCCGAATCGGGTTGTGAGGAGAGTCTGGGAGCAAACGTGATAAATTTAGTTTTATTAATATTTAATGTCAGCATGCTGTTCGAAAGCCATGACATGACCACACTCAAAGCCAACTCAGCGGAAACCCTAGCCTCGTCCCAAGTCTTCCCATTTACTACAATTGCTGTATCATCGGCATAAGACAGGATTTTACAATTTGGCAGTTTTAATTGACACAAGTCATTCATATATATTAGAAACAGGGTAGGTCCAAGGACGCTACCCTGTGGTATACCATATTGAATTGGTTCTTCCTGACTTGTATAATTAGCTATCCGAACAAATTGTCTTCGCGCATTTCAGTAGCTCTTGAATAATTCAAGTGAGACACCCCTAACACCTATACTCTGAAGTTTGCGTAAGAGAATAGGGACAGACACAGTGTCAAAGGCTTTAGAAATATCTAGGAAAACACACAAAGAATTTAATTTATTATTAATATTATTCAATACTGTACTAGTGAGCTCCAAAACAGCATCCTCTGTTGACTTGCCTGGTCTGAAACCATATTGATTTGGAGCCAATAAGTTTTTAGAGTTCAAGTAGTTAGTTAATCTATTATTAAGAATTTTTTCGAAGATTTTTGACAAGGTTGTTAAAATAGAAATGGGTCTATAATTGGTTACACTGTATCTGTCTCCGCTCTTAAAAATGGGATAGACTATTGCTTTTTTAAACACAGCAGGGAAAGTACCAGTAGAGAAACAAAGGTTAAAAAGTTGAGTCAATACTGGAATTAAAACATGCCTTGACTCTTTTATTAATACATTAGAGATGCCATCCCAGCCCGTTGCACAATCCAATCGTAACCCCAGGATTATATCTTCAATTTCTTTGTCATGGGTCATCTAGCAGCACCATTGAGTGCATTTCAGAAGTATTACAATCTATGATAGGACAGTTAAAAGAAGATTCTACAGAGCTTTTGGCAATTTTTGATGCTAAACTTTTTCCAACACTAGCAAAATACGTATTCACAAAGTTAACAGCCCTTAAAGGATCTTCCGACACTGTTAGAAGTTCATCACAAGTAGATGCAGTAGTTTGCTTGAGATTAGTGGTATTCTTAATCAGATTCCAAACTTTCTTCGGGTTTTTGTTACATTTAGTGAATTCTGATCGCTCATATTCTTGTTTTAATCTTTTTAGGAGATTATTACAAAAATTCTTATATCTTTTATATGATATACTTAAAACGTCGTTGCTTGGATGTTTTTTTGTTTTAAGATAAAGCCTATCTCTATGCCGAATGCAGCGAAGCAATCCTGGAGTAATCCACGGCTTGGAGATGCGCTTTCTACTAGGGATATAAACAATGGATGTATTGGCTTCGACTGCGGTAGATAATTTATAAATTAAAATGTTAGCAGATGTGTCAGCATTTTCATTGTTAGTAACATCAGAAAAATCTATATTTTCAATGTCATTCACGCAAGCTGGGATGTTTAGACGTTTTAATGTAAACTTTTTGGGTAGATTATTTGCCCTGCTCTTCGTCTCAGTGCAGAATAATAAAGGAGAGTGATCAGTAAGATGAGCATCTAAAACTAGAGTAACGGAATTTTTATCTGATTTAAGGATTACATGATCGAGACAATTTTGTATGCGAGTTGGAATGTGATGCGTAGGCAACATAGAATGTGATGCTAACAAATTGAGATAAGAATTTGAGTTTTGGTCCATGTTTTCCTGGGTTATATTAATATTAAGGTCACCGATTAGAGCTATAGTTTTAAAAGAACGCAGCGAGAGCAAAAGAGCATCCAAACCATGGAGAAAATCATCAAT